AAAAAAAAAAAAATCTTAGAATAGTGCCTGGCAGGTATTAAGACTTATTTAAATGTTAATTACATTACTTGTAATTTAAAAAGTTTCAGTGGGCCAAGTGTGGTGGCACAGGCCTATAATTCCAAGATTCTGGAAGGCTGAAGCAGGAAGATTTCAAGTTCAAACCCAGCCTGGGCAGTTTAGCAAGACCCTGTCTCTAAATAAAACTAAGGGCAGGGATGCAGCTCAATGATAAGGCCTTGGGTTCAACCCTCAGTACCAAAACAAACAGCCAAGAAAGCCCAGCAGGTAGTCCACGTGCATATGTCCTCCTCTCCCAACGACGGTGATCCCAACTCTGACTTCACCTTACTAAAGGCCGAGGCCACAAATGAAGGAGTCATTTCAGGGAATGAATCTCAGAGGGGGACCTGTAAAGACAGAGTGCAGCCCCTCAGCCTGACATCTGAGCCCTGCCAGGCCTGGCCTTGCCACCCACAACCTTGCTTCCATCGGTCCCCGGCCTTAGCTCATCCCTGAGATAACAGGGTTCTCCTCCTTGCTGGTGACACAGACAAACAAGTACGAAGTCTTTCGCAGGTGCTAGGTGGCCCCTGCCACACCCCCTCCTCTGCTCAGCACCTTCTTGTGCCTTCCCCGTCACCCAGTAGATGACACTGAATCATCGCCATGGCTTACAATACCAGGCTGGAGCAGACTCTGCTTGAGAGTCTAACTTTTCTGCGTCTAACCACAATCCTTTTGCTTTTTGCTTCTGGCTGCCTGATCCTCTTTCAGTTCCTCTGCAACCATGTGTTTCCTTCTGATGCTGGCCCTTGTACCTGAGCTGTGTGCCCGCACCGGGGGCCCGGCATGCACACCTTTCCCTCACGGGACCTCACCTTCCACCTTGAATGCTGCCTCAGACAGGAAGCGCTCTCTGACCACTCTTGGGGCTGGAGCTCACACATCCGTGGAACCAGACCCTGCTTCATCTCAGGACCTTCTTCATCTCTCCCTGCTCAGAGGAGCTCCATTTTTCAGCCTCACCAAACCTCTTTCAGTTCCTCACAGGAGCAAGTTTTGTTTTTTTTTTCTTTCTGTGGTATGTGGTATCAAAACCTAGGGCCTCGAGCACGCTAACCTCAGTACCCTCTACCTCTGAGCTGCATCCCCAGTCTGCAAGATTTATTCTTTCCTCCCTGGCGGTGATGTAGCACATGTGGTTTTCTCTGCCTGGAACACTCCCTCCCTGCACCCGTTGACCTAACACCCCCTTTGAGTTCCAGCTCGCGCACACAGCCTCTTCCAGGAAGCCCTCACCGATCACCGATCGCTGGGGTGGGTCGGATGCCTCACTGGGCTCTCAGAGCTTCCTGCGCTGATCACACCAGGCCTCCCCATCCCAGCCCCAACCCCTCTGCCTGTGCCTTCCTGCCCCACTCAGGGCCATCTCTGGGCCCTCACAGCCTGATGCTATCTATACCTGCGATCCCGGGCAGGTAGGGTCCAGGCTGTCCCCTCACTGGTGTGTCCCCAGCCTTGTCTAGCACACGTTGGACTGGGGAAAGCTGGATGGCGGAATTCGTGACCCATGTGCTTCTTCCCCCAGTGTTACCTGTTCCACATGTACGTGGGTGTCCGAGCAGGCGGAGGCATCGGGGATGAGATTGAGGACCCAGCGGGCGATGAATATGAGCTCTACCGAGTGGTCTTTGATATCACCTTCTTCTTCTTCGTCATTGTCATCCTGCTGGCCATCATCCAGGGTCAGCACGGGGGTGGGGCTGCTCAGTGCCCAGAGGCACTAAGAGAGCTAAGAGAGCAGGCCCAGGGTCCAGTCCACCGGGATTCCTATCCCAGCTCTACCTCCCCCTACTTGAGACCTCAGCCAAGTGGCTTCTGCGCGCCTCAGTTTTTCCTCTGCAAAATGAGGGAGTTCATGGTACTGACCTCATAGGGTCGTCACGAGAATTACAACTCATACCTTCAAATGTCTCATAGTAAGTGCCCAATAAGCCCCTACTTTTATTCTTCGTAGGAAGCAGGGTAAGACTGGGGAGATGGGGGATGGAAGGCCAGGCCCCGAGGTGCGTAGCCAGGAGCAAGTCTGAAGTGGGTCCGAGTTGGGTACTGACCTGCATCCTGCCACTTTCAGGTCTGATTATCGATGCTTTTGGTGAGCTCCGAGATCAACAAGAACAAGTGAAGGAAGATATGGAGGTGTGTGCGGTGTGGGGCGGCCCGGAGGGATTCTGGGATGCTGGGAGTCAAACGAGCCTGACTCTGATGTCTTTCATTACCTATAGACCAAGTGCTTCATCTGTGGAATAGGCAGCGACTATTTTGATACGACACCGCATGGGTTTGAAACTCATACGCTAGAGGAACACAACCTGGCCAATTATATGTGAGTACTGGGCCGCTGGCCAATCAGGAGGGTGGTACGCGACCTCTGCCAACCAGGGTCGTGAGGGCTACTTAGGGAAGGGGTGTGGTGTATGTGTGGGTGGAGCCCCAGGCAGCCAGTCAGAAGGTAAGGGTCGGGGTTGGGGCTGGGACTCAGATCTAGAGATGGCCCGGGGGTTTTTTTCCCTCGTACTGACACAAACAGACGAAAACAGAAAGTAAGGATGGATCTTCCCTGTCTCCCTCAGGTTCTTCCTAATGTATCTGATAAACAAAGACGAGACAGAACACACAGGTCAGGTAAGAGGGTGTTAATAAAAGATATGGACAAGGTCGTGGAAGTTTTAATATAAGGCTAATCAGCGTAGCAGTAGAAAGCCGGAATCAATGTCAAGCGTTTGAAGATGTGACCAGTGGATTCTTATCTCCCAACCTAGGAGTCCTATGTCTGGAAGATGTACCAAGAGAGATGTTGGGATTTTTTCCCAGCTGGTGACTGCTTCCGCAAGCAGTATGAGGACCAGCTAAGCTGACACCCCCAGCTGGCCCTCCATTCCCACCTCAAGTGCCTTTTTCTCACTGCAAGTCCCTGAGCCCAAGGCAGCTGAGAGAGAGGCAACCTTGTACCAGAGAAATAAAGACTGCGCTGAACCCCCTGCCATCGTTGTGATGGATTGCTGAAATTTTGGGAGAGTGGGCATGCAGAAATTCTGCCTTCCCCCAAAAAAGACAAGATGGCAGCACAGGCTAACATCATGTTTATTGGAAGACTGGGACGTGACATGGCCACTAGTGTGTCTGTTGGAGATAGGGTGCAGGGTCTGGTCCTGACACGCCCCTGAGGACTCATTCCTGAATATAGAGGTTGCTGGGTGCAGTAGGATCATCTGCTGGTCGTGTCTCCACCACTACAGGCCTGGGGGAGGGAGAGGTCAGGTCATTTGTTCATTCATTCATGCATTGGTTCGTTCATTCACAAAGTCGTCAGCAGAGACACTACCAGCCCGATGCTGGGCCATAATGATGAGCACAGTCCCTGCCCTTGGAGAGTTCACAGTCAGAGGGAGACTAACACAGACCAGTGAGTTACATGAGTGCGAAGCAGCATGGGGGACATGGCAAGGAAATCCATCCCCGGAGGACAGCCAGGGCTCCTCTGAAGAATATGTGATGGAGTCTGAAGGGCTCAGGAGAGGAAAGAACAGGGAAGATTGTTTTGGGCAGAGAGAACAGCTTGTGCAAAGAAAGGCCCTGAGGTGGAGAGAGGCTGGGGCTTGGCCGGAGGGGCCATGGCCTTGTAGGCTATGGCTGGAGTTGAGTGTTGTCTTGAGGACATAGAGGGATTTAAAGCAGAGAGAGATGAGCAGCTTTGGATTTTAAAAAGACCCCTCTGGATATCAGAAGGACTCAGGACAGTGGTGGTGAACCTATGGCACGCACACCACAGCAGGCTGTTTGTACCACTGAAAGCTCTAAAAGGTTCACCATAACTGACATACGAGATCCCTAAAAAGACTCCCACTGGCTAAATCTAAGACTATTTGTGCCTCAAAATAAACAATGAGGGTCATAAATTTCAACCCAGAGAATGAAATAGAAATCTATGCGATGGTGCTGAAATAGTAGGTGGCAGGCATAAAGGTGCATGCCTGTAACTCTAGCATTTTAGGGGATCCAGGCAGGAGGATCTCAAATTTGATCTCAGCCGGGACGATGTAGCAACTCAGTAAGGTTTTGTCTCAAAAATCAATTAATCCATCAATCCCCAGTACTGCAAAAAAAAAGGAAAAAAGGAAATGGTAAAACGGGCTAAGCCCTCCTAACAGCAGAAGGCTCACTAATATATGCAGAAGGAAGGACTAAAGTAGAGAAGCAACATTTGTTTTTTGTTTGTTTGTTTTTTGAGACAGGGTCTCACTATGTAGTTGAAACTGACCTGGAAATCACTATATAGCTCAGATTGGTCTCGAACTCCCAGTGATCCTCCTGCCTCAGCCTCCTGAGTGCTGGGATTTACCACCACACCCAGCGAGAAGCAACATTTTTAAAGTGAGTGCTTAGCATGTGAGAGTGTAGGTTCCATCCCCAGTACCACAAAGGTGAGAAAGATTGAGATCATTTGGTGATATAGTTGATTCTAATACAATAGATTAAAACCAAAAATCATCAATAGGCTTTAAAAAATAAGTCTGATGAGAAAGTCTCAATGAAACTCCCCCCAGAGATACCTGTTATTACAAGGGAGAACTTTACAGTGGAGGGGTCTGGTTGTCTGCACCTTGGTTAAGAGATCAAACTGACATCATGTGCCCCTGAAATGACGCACCAAGAAGGACACAGCACTGTACTTCCTCAGCTAGGCCCTGAGTTCAAGCCTTGACACCAAACCAAAAGATTAACATCTGGGGGATCCAGATGAAGGGGACACAGAAAATTCTGTATTATTTTTGAAACCTGAGTCTAAAATTATGTCAAAATAAAAAAGCCGGATCTCTCACTATGTAGTAAACTAAAATAAAAAATGGCTGGGTGTGTTGGTGCACACCTATAATCTCATCACTGAGGAGGCTGAGTCAGGAAGATCAGTTTGAGTCCAGCAAGGGCTACATAGTGAGTTCAAATCCAGCCTGAACTATGTGTCTCGAATAAATAAAATTAAATTTGAAAATAAAATAAAAATTAATGAAAGATCTAAATATTAAAACAAACACTTGGGCTGGGGATTTAGCTCAGTGGTTCTGCCACCTGCCTTGCAAGCACAAGGACCTGAGTTCAATCCCTGGTATACAAAAAACAAAAACAAAAACAAAACAAACAACCTGCTGAAAGATAAAATAGGTAAAACTCATGAAGATATAGACGTAAGCTAGGGCTTTCTGAATAGAACCAATTGCACAGAAATCAACAAAGAATCAACAAATAAGATTACGGTATATCAAATTAAAAAGCTTCTAAAGAATAAAAATAAAAAGCTTGTGCACGGCAAAAGAAACAAACAACAGAATGAAGAACCAATCCCCAGAATGAAAAAACTTTTGCCAGTTGTACCTTGGACAGAGGACTAATAGTATAAGGACCTAAAAAAAATCAGAATCCCCAAAATAAAAGATCCAATCAAAAATGGGCAACTGAAATGAACAGACACTTCTCAGAAGAAGTACAAATGGCCAATACATGAAAGAATATTCAGTATCACTGGCCATAGAGAAATGCACATTAAAACAACATTGAGACTCCATCTTACTCCAGAAAGAATGGGCATCATCAAGAAATCAAATAATAGCTAATGCTTGACAGGTTGTGGGGAAAAAAAGAATTCTTCTACATTTTTGGTGGAAATGTAAACTAGTACAACCATTATAGAAATCATTATGGACATTTCTCACAAAACTGAAAACAGAAATTCCATTTGACTCAACAACTCCCTTTCTAGGTTTCGTCCCCAAAGAGTTAAAGTCATCCTATATAGTGACACATGCAGGCCCATGTTTATAGTGGCACAATTCATAATGGCTAAATCAACAGGTGGATAAAGAAAATGTGGTATTTCTACACAACGGAGTACTATACTATGCTGCTATAAAGAAAAATTTGCATCATTCATCATGTGTGGGAAAATGGATGCACCTTGAGACCTTATATATTAAGTGAGGTCAGATACATAAGCTTCAGTATTGTATAGTTTCTCTTATACAAGAAGCCCAAAATGTAAATAAAGAGTAAAGTAAAAGATAGATTATATGAAAAAATGACGTAGGTCTTTTGTGAATAAGAGGACCAAGAGATGGAGGGAGGGGGAGAAAGGGTAGGGAAAGGGAATCTAAAACGACTTAAGATGTGTTATGTATACACACCAACTTCCTACAATGAATGCACTCATTATATACTGCAAATACCCACTAAGAAAAATTTAAAAAACATTTTTTTAATTACACTGGTGAAACATGCCTGTAATCTCACTCCGGGAGGCTGAAGAAAGAGGATGACAAGTTCAAGCCCAGCCTGAGCAACTTAGCAACTTATCAAGACCCTGCCTCCAAATAAAAAAGGCTGGGGATGTAGCTCAGTGGAAAGGCCCTAGGTTCAATATCCAGTACTGCAAAACTTAATGAAGTTAGTAATGCTTTTTTTTTTTCTTTTTTGTACCAGGGATTGAACTCGGGCCCTTGCGCGTATGAGGCAGGTGGCAGAACCACTGAACCAAAGCCCTGGCCCTAAGTAGTGCTATTTTTAACAGCTTAAAGTAGAAATGAAATGAAAATGCTCTTTGGCTGCTATGCAGGGAATGGTCTTCGAGGACAGACAGAAGCAAGGAGAAGCTAAAAATACAGACACCTCAGGATGCCCCTACCAGGTCCTCTGTCCCCCTCCCCAGCACCATACCTGGGACAGCCAAGCAGACGGAATGTGAGGGTGGGGTCTCTCAGCTCCTGCAGTAGCTGTGGAAAAGTGGGTATCTGTCACTGTCAAGAAGCAACCCCCCTGGCCGGGGATTTAGCTCAGTGGTTCGGTGGCCTGCCTTGCAAGCGCAAGGACCTGAGTTCAATCCCCGGTACCAAAAAAACAAAAAAAGAAGCAACCCCCAAAATGTAGCTCCCTTCAAAACAAGGAGAAGTCTGAATATCTAGCCTCAGATCCAGAAAATCAATCCTTCCAACACCACACATCAGCTGCGTGCCCTCAGGTAAGTTACTTAACCTCACTGTGCCTCACATTATAACCTGTAAAATCTTAGTATCTACCTGATAGGTGATTATAAAGATTGAATTAAATATTAAAGTGTCAGGGCAGAGCCTGACACACTATTCTGTGATATAAACCCCATTTTCTCCTCCATTTTCGAATGTCAGGTCCCGTGCCTAAGGTAACCCAGCAGGATTCCAATTCAGGTTCCTGTTCTTAATCATCCATCTATCTCCATGGTGATCCCTATTTTGCAGTCGGAGAACAGAGGCTCAGAAAAAGCAAAGTCCCTTGAACACAGTCACACAGTGGTCCAGGCTCAGACTGGAACTCGAGAGATGCTGGCGCAGAGAAGGGGGCCTGTCTGCACTGCGGCTGGAGGGAGCTCTGGCTCAGGAGCTCTCCATGACCATCGGCCAGAGGTGATGACTGAGGCGGGAGGAGCAGAGTGGGCGCCTGGAGGGGAGGGGCTTACCCTGTCCGATCCTGGAGCCCACACCTGCACTCCATGCTTCCAGAAGCCCTGAAGCCGACCCCCGACCATAGCTGGGGAGAAAGCAGTGCCTGTTACCTGGAGGTCTCTCCCGCCTCCGCCCCAGCCAGGCTCCAGTCCTGCACTTACCCACGGCCTCCACCGCCTCTGTCATGGGGATCTCCGGGGTGCGAAGGCCCGGGACTGGGGCACCTTCTGGGGTCACCAGTTTCAGAGAGCCTGGAAGTGGAGAGAGCAAGGGATTTAAGAACTGTGACCAGGACATAGAGGGCCACTAAGAGACAGGGCAAGGATTCAGTGTGAAAAACTAAAAAGAAAGGGAGGTGGGTGGAGTGGGGCAAGGCCTAGAGGGGCTCAGCCTTTTTTTGAGACAGGGTCTCACTGTGTAGTCGAGACTGACCTGGAACTCACTAGCCCAGGCTGGTCTCGAACTCACAGCGATCCTCCTGCCTCAGCCTCCCAAATTCTGGAATTACAGGCAAGAGCCACCATGCCTGGCAGGCTTTTTTTTTTTTTAATTGGTGATTGAGGTTAGCAAACACAAAGCTTTTCAACTGAGCTACCTCACCAGCACTTCTCCTTTTAAATTTTTGAGGTAGGCTCTAGCTAAATTGCTAAGTTGCCCAGGATGAGCTTGAACTTGGAATCCTCCTGTCTCAGCCTGTCAGAGTGCTGGGTGCAGGAGTTGCCACCACAGCTGGCTAAAGGGACTCAGGATCTCCGAGAGGCAGGAGAGGCACTGAACCAGGGCGGGTGAACAGAAGAAAGGTTCTTACCATCCATCAACACCATCACCATGTCATCCTTTACCTGGGTCACCTGCACTGCTCCCTTGTGCTCTAAGAGAAGACAGGGTTGGTTAAGGGCGACCATGCCGGCGTCCCCTTTCCCACAGCGCCCCCAGAAGGTTGCCTCTGCCAGGCACTCCCTCAAACACCGAGCAAGGAGGCTGAGTCCCACCCACCACCCACCACAAGTAGTGGCTTCGCAGAAGTCCCGCCAGGCACTTGGACCCAACCCTCCCGAAGACAAGCTCTGCCCCTCAGCAAGACGGCCGGGGCTCACCCGTGCTCATCTCGCCCAGCCAGCAGGACAGCGCGCCGAAGCGCACGGTGTGGAAAAGCAGCGACTTCGCTGGCCGCCCGGGGCTCACGCCGATGCACACGGCCGGCAGCTCTGAGCCTGGCGTGGTC